AAAACTTAACATTGAAAGGGTCCAGTCCATGCTTCTTGGTTTTAAATCAAAAAAACAGAAGCAAAATTCTTTATGTATCCTCCCCCAACATGCATTCTGGCAAATTCCCAGAGTCAGTTCCTCTTAAGATACTGCCTAGGAAGAGCAGATTTGCAGAACAGGATGAGATTATAACAGCTCTTCCACAGCAGAAAAAATAATTTGCTATTTGATGCCATGATTCTTTTACTGCCTCCACCACTATCTACTGAAGACAATAGTCTAAAACATTAATATCTGTGTTTGGTGTACAATCCTACCCAAATTTTAAACCAGAAGTATAAACCCCTTAATTAATTTGACCTTTAAACAATTTTAGGGAATGGCCATTTCACAAGGGACCTGAAATCAGTGAATGAGAAAGCTTGCACACACAAAATTTAACATAAAACAAAAAGACACCAGCAAAGACAGTAATCAACCTCCCCCACCCCACCCTACCTTCATACACACACACATAGTCCTCCCCACTCCTAGAATCTACAAACATTGAACTCATAGCTGACTACTTGGCTAGTAAAGATTGCTAAAGAAGTGGGTAGGGAAACTTATCATTTTAAAGTTCCTATCTTTCCTAAAACTTTTCAGGCCACAGGTAAGAAAGCAACCCAGCTTGTACCCGAGTTGCATTCTTATAGAAAAATCCCTTTGGCAAAGACTTTGCCACATTGAATTCTTAGGAGGAAGGTACAGAAATGCTTATAGTCCCTTTATATCTACTAGTGTGGCTATGTATAAGGCTGAGATTCTAAGTTTTACCCAGAGTTAAAACTCTAGCCCTTTATTTTTCTGGGGCAGGATTCTTTTATGCTGTTGGGGCTTATCCCTGAAGATTTTACCACATACTGCCAAAAATCCTTTACTAGGGGAGGTGGGTGTTGTTAAGTGGTATAGCATATGCTCAACATGTGCAAGATCCAGGGTTCAATACCCAAAGCCTATAAATATACAAACCCTTTATTAATTCTTTTTAGAAATCTGAGATACATTATGGCAATTATTTAAGAAAAAGTGAGATTTAGTAAGCTTGATTCTATTCATATAGGTACTAAAACAATTATATAATTTTATGTTTGCCTTGTTTCCAAAGGAGAAAAAGACTATTGAAATTTTAAGTATGTTAAAAAAGGAAAGTCTTTTGTGCACAGGATTGGGAGGATCACCCTCATAATGGGAGGAGCCCGATTTCTCCAGACCTCTAGCTCTCAGGATCACTAACTGCTCTCACACACATTTGGAATGATAGACACAGCACATTCCTCCTGACATCAACACTGCTGCACTAATGCTCAGAAGACCCACACTGACTTCTACAGCAAAAGATTTCCAGGAATGCAGTTAAGGTTCACTCTATCTATAAAGGGGACCAGTTCACAGACCACTACTTTTTTTCTTATGCTGTCCACAACCAATAAAATCCCCATGCCCAGTGCTCTGATATACCATAATATATATCATATATTAATAGGTTAGGCTATGGCATCAAAAGGACCCCAAATGTTATTCCATTAATTAAAAGCCTTGAGACTAGACATCTGAGCTGTTTCCTCATTTGCAAAACAGGAGGGAAATCTAACAGGAATGACTTAAAAACAGATCCCAAACTAGCTCTCAGGTTAAATACAACACAAAAGACATATTTCAGCTGGTCCACATAGTTGATAATTTTTTAATTGCTACATTTAAAAGTCAGGGAATTCATCAAAATAGAAATGGCCAGCTTGACTAGGAAAAAAAAAAATCAAAGATCCATCAACATATTTGCTTGGAACCGGTCAGCTAGCAGCTGCTTTAGAGAGCAGCAATAGGTATTACTCTTGCTTCCTTCCTCTTCCTTCAGGCTCCTGTAGAATTTGGTTTGCAACCCATTTTAATGATCAAAAACAAAATTAAGCCAGGCAAGGTGGCGCACACCTGTAATCCCAGAGGCTTGGGAGGCTGAGGGAGGATCTGGAGTTCAAAGCCAGCCTTAGCAATGGCAAGGTGCTAAGCAACTCAGTGAGACTCTCTCTCTAAATAAAATACAAAATAGGGCTGGGGATGAGGCTTAGTGGTTGAGTGCCCCCGAGTTCAATCCTGGGTATCCCCTCCCAGAAAAATTAATACATTGGGGCAACCACTATCATTATGACAACTTTGGTTTGAGCCTGGAGTCCTACAACTTGATCATCATCCTCCATTTTCTGCCTCATGGACATTGTTATGTGTGCCTGGGAAAGACCCCAGAATCATTCCAAACCAAATTCCCATGATAATTCACCATATGCACTAGTTTTTTGTTTGGGGTTGTGTGTTGGGGGGGCAATACTTAGGGGACTGAACCCAGGGGTGTTTTATCACTGAGCTACCTCAAAAGCCACATTTTTTACTTTGAGACAATCTCACTAACTTGCCAGGTTGGCCTCCAATATACAAGCCTTCAGCATCAACCTCCCCAGTTCTGTGGATTAAAGGCATGCACCACTATGCCATGCATTGCTGTACAGGTTAGCAAAATCGTTCTTCCACACAAGAAAGCCTAATTATAGTGAGCTGTATATACCACAACCACTGGGAAGGGAATGGTAAGTATTTTTATAAAGGAATACTTACATATAGGGTACTCAACTTCCAAATACTATTTCTATAAGTGGAGCATGCATTGCCCAGCCACCCAAATTTAAATTAAGTCACCATGACAAAAACAAAAACACCAAGCCCAGCCCAAACCCCCCCCCCCCCCCCAAAAAAAAAAAAACCAACTCCGCAGATGCAATGCTCTAGGAGTAGAGTTTATAGGTCCAGGCAAGTTGGAAGAGTAAAGATAAATACCAGTGGTGAGCCCTGAACACTACTGTTCTTAGGGGCTCCCAAAATCACAGAGCACCACTGGGCTCCAGAAACAGAATATCCACCCCTTTTCTACTTACCACATAAACAAACCCCAAAACCAATCGCCAGCTTGTATTTCCAAGATTCTGTTGTTTCCATTGGTTACCATTTTTTAACCCAGGATGAATCCCTAGACTCAAAGAGAACCTGAATTTAAGGGTGAGTGTCTATCCTCAGTAGACACTCTGCCAGTTGGCACAGGTCAGCCCTATCACTAGAGGAGCACCAACCAGAGCTCCCAGTCCAACCCACTTGCCCCGACTCCAACAAATGACCAAGACCAGCAGTTTCCTTAGATGCCAGAAGAACGTGGGGAAACAGTGTGGTAGACAGGGAGACGGTCGCCAGAGAAATGCCAATTCATCAGAGCTAACCAAGGCCGCGGCGGGGAGGGCAAGCCATCCTTGAGACCTGACACAGGCAGTAGGCTGCTCTGGGGAACTCGGGGTTTCCTGCACGTCTTCTACAGGCAGAACCCTGCTTGAGCGCTCCGTGAACCAGAGTACAGCCTGCAAGGAGCAAAATGCCACGGCGAAAACACCACGCACACTGGGCTGCACATCCCCAAGCCAGGTTGCCCGCGAGCTCTTAGCATTCTTTGGCAGTTCTGGCCACTTCCAGGGATTGTGGTCTCGAGGGGTCCTTTAGGCAAGAAGCACAAAGTCATTATCAACTTGATCGAGAAGAAAAAACCTAGACAAGGACAACCAATGAGACACCAACGGCGAAGACCTCTTCCTGGTCTGCACCCCCTAACCCCATGTCCCCAGGCCGGCGCAGCCCTTCCATCTAGTATCTCCATTAGCTGAAGCAACCGGTCAGACCCACCCTCAGCGCCCACCACTGCTTCCCAAGCCTGCAGCCAGGGCTGGAGGCCGCATCAGTCTCCCCTACCTCGGGGCTCAGGCACCTGGCCTTGTCCCGGCTGAGGAAAACGGCGTCGCCAGCCAAACCATATGCACACATCTCCCCAGGACACGGGCCGGGTAGGGTGGGGAACCTGCGTCTCTGGGCCGCAGGGGTCCCTACCCGTACACGCCCCCAAGACCCACCTCGAGTTGGCCAGACTTGCAGGCCTCCCGCTCAAAGTTGAGTCGCACGCGCGGGACCCTACCCGCGCGCTCTCCAAGACTCCTCCGGGAGCCTATCGAACGTGTGAAGCCACGTGACCCCCGGGCCAGGAAAGCGCGCGCCTGGCACGAGGGCCTGATCCCTCCGCCTTAAAGGGGCCGCGCCCACGCCGTCGCGGCGTTCTCCACGTGGCTCTTCACCCCCGCAAGCCCGCCCTCCCGGTGTCCCCGCACCCTAGACGGAGCACAGGAGGCTCACGGCAGGAGAGAGGGGTCGCGGGCTGCCAGCGCTGGCTGGCTCAGGCCTCACGTGCGACGGCTGCGAAAGAAGCAAGTATTCTGGGCGCCGGGGCTTCCTTCCGTCAGTCTGCTCTGGTCAGGACCTATGCTCGCTGGAAGCCACCAGCAGCGTAGCTCACAAGCCCAGGCGACAGCCCCCAAGAGTCGCGGCGCCTTTAAGCCCGAAGGCCCTGAGTCACGGGAGGATCCCTGCCCCCTCGCTGCACGCCCCTCCACGCGGCCCCACGCCCGCCGCATGTGACCCGCGCCAGCCCAGGACGCGGAGCGGGGGAGGGGCGCCGGGGCTGGCGATGCTGCGCGCGGACCGTTAGCTGCTGCGCTGGACCGGGCCCCGCCCCGGCTTGGCAGCGGCTCTTACCAGAGGGAACGCCATGGGGCCGGCGCGGCCCTGCGGGACTGGCGGACGGGCCGGCCGGCGGGCGAGGGACGCGCACACACGTGGGCACTATTTTTGCAGCGAGCCGCGCGCAGCTCCGCACCCGGTGGCTTATAAAGCTCTGCGGAGCCGCCCCCCGGCCGGATGCGGAGCACCTGTGTCGGCCCCGCCCGGGCCCCAGCCCCGGCCCCCGCCCTGCCCTCCGGCTCCCTCTAGCAGGCGAGACCGGGCTCAGCCGCCCACCCGAGCCGGCGCCGAGGCGGAGGCGGGCTATAGAGCCGCATTCACTGCTGGCCGCAGCACCTCTGGAAAGCCAAAGGTTCACGCCTGAGCACGCCACTCACCTAGTGACCCTGGCCAAGTCACCATCTCTTCTGCGCCTCAGTTTGTAAATCGTGAAATAGGGCGCGATTTACAAACCCTTGCGACTCAGCGGTGTTGTGCTTTGTCAGGAAAGTGTCCACGCCCCTCTTCTTCCAGTGACTGCTCCAGGGCGAGAGACAGCCTTGCAGAGAGCCGCCACCGCTGTCAGAACCTTAGCCCCCGAGCTCCAGGAGGCGCGCTCACTTAAGCCCGATCGCTCCGTGCTCTGGGTAGAGGAGCGCTGGGCGTCTGGGGATTCCGGAAAGTTCCAAAGACACCAGTCATCCTCTTTGGACTATGGTTCTCTAAGGAAATCGCTTCCAACGCTCCCACAAGGCTGCGATAGGAAGCTTTACAGAGAAGGGACAGGGTGGAAGCCACGGGGTGAAGGGAACTGCTGTGGGACTCGCTGTTGGTGAGGACAAGCCTGGGGCAGCGGGGGCAGGAGCGGACCGGAAGCCCGAGTCAAGCGCCAAGGCGGAGGTGGCATTCCAGGCGGAGAGATCGAGAGAAGGCGGAGAGCGAGAACTGAACTGAGCTACTCTAACAAACCAGGGATAACGCGTGCTTGGAGCGCAGGAGGGAAGCCTGGTTTCAGTTTGTGAAGGATCTTTATTCTGCGGATAGCTGGAAGTTAGTAAAGAGTTGTAAACGAGTTGAGAGTTGTCAGTTGTCTTTTAAGGCCTGACTGGCTGGAGATTTTAGAAGTTGGGCCGGAAAAGGAAAGAAACAAAGGAGTGCGGGGGTGGGGGTAAGGGACAAGAATTTATTGAGCATTACTGTTTTACATGCTCTCTCATCATATTGTTTTTAAGCATTTACTACATTGAAGGCTCCTCCTGGCACTTGAGCAAGATGGAGTTGCCATCTTGTTAAGAGGTTTGTGACTCTGGCCTGGTTCTAATGGCCAACGGGAGGGAAACAGGTAATTGTAGTTTTCTGTCCAGGGTAATGGAAGGAAAGGAAGTCTATGGCCTTAGTCAAGGGGAGAGAAGATGAGGAGGATGACACGAAGGAGTAGGAGTCAGTCTCCATCCCCCTACAGGTCCTCATGCAGGAGTTTCCTTGTTTTGTTGAGGTTTTGAATAGAAAGGTTGATGACTAGCAGGGACAAGGCAGGAGCAGCTTCACTGGGATGCTCCTTCCTGGGGCCTTTTTCTCAGGGAGCAGCCCACCCCTAGGTCTCATCTTGGTGAGCCAGCAGCATAAGACAGCTGTTTAAAATACCTTCTGTTTTACTTAGAAATCTCAGGGAGATGCCACTAGAGCACAGCAGCCAAAAGGGTGAGAGCGCTGAAGGTCCAAGGCATATCTAAAAGGGCTGTTGGCTGCTAGGCAACATAAAGGAATGAGGTCCTACCTCAGCTCATCTTTCAAAAAAAAAAAAAAAATGAAAATATGTATTCTTTTATCTTAATGCAAACTTTAAATCTAGGGGTCCGGTGCACTTTATTGGCTTCCAGTTTGTAATCCCTTACATCCTCCCACGTGACTCCAAAGTTGAGTTAGATAAGAATATGAAACCTGGAAGAGGACCCAAAGGAAGGTAGGTGTCTGAGAGCTCTTTCACATTTCAGAGCTCTCATTAAAAAGTAAAGGCATTTTTTCAGGTGACTTGGAACAGGAATTTCTGCTGCTTAAAATTCCTCTTCCTAAACTTTCTGTTGCAAGTAACAATAGATCACCTTCACTAAGCACTCATTATTGCTAAACACAGCTCAAAGTGCTTTACCTATGTTAACTCATTTTGCAAACGAAGAAACTGAAGCTCAAAGAAATTAAAAGTATCTTGTCCAAGGACCGCCCCGCCTCTCCAGCCAACTGTGGCACAGCACCCATCCAAACCCAGGCAGTGTCCTAGTTCCATAGGCTGATGAGAACAAAACTTCCAGCACTTTCACTCCCTGTGAATGACCTCAGAGCTCACTGCAGATAGTGAGGGAAGAGGTGACCAAGTTCAAATATAGTCATAGCTCAGGTTTGGATGAATCTTTCACTCACCTAGTTAGGCTTGTCGGCCATACAGGAAAGATTATCCCTCTGACTAGGTGTCCACTATCCACAGGGCTGAATGGGGAAAGCAGCAAGGGTAGAGCTATTAAATAACTTGGTCAAATCCGCACAGCTGATCATTGGCAGGAATAGTCAGCATTATCCATTCTCCCAGCCAACAAACATCCTTTGAGCCCGGTTATACCTAGCAACATCTTTGCAGTCAAGCCCCAGATTTATAATACAGGTTTCAAATATAACTGTTAATTTGACCAGATTAAATTTTAAATACATGTTGTAGGGGGACAGTAGTTTCTGTGTGTGTGTGTGTGTGTGTGTGTATTTGTGTTTTTGTTTGAATAGTTTGAATAGAACCCAGGACTTCACAAATGCTAGACAAGCACTTTGCCACTTAGCTTTATCCCCAGGCCCTGACCTTTAGTCTTATATGCTCAGGTGTTCATTTCTTCCACAGCAGAGAGCTGGAAGAAGAATGGAGACTGCTGGGAGAAAGTGATTTCTGGTTGCAAAAGATAAGAAGGGGGATTCACTTAGGAACTCAAGACCACAAGAGAAAGTAGACACATGATCTCTGCTCAGGTTTTGCCAAAAGAAACTATGCTCTTTTTATTCTCCTATGTCCTTTTAAGTGAAATAAAAGACAGTGGGTCAACCCCACTTTTCATCATACACAAATGTAAATTTAAAGGGTGTTAAAGATATAATTGTGAAAAGTTTGCTTGGATTTTTTTCAAAGAATAAAAGAACATTTTTATTACCTTAGCCTATGAATAAATATTATAAATTAGAAATTATAAGAAGATGTAAAGGAACATGATAAATTTGACCACAATGGAATTTAAATGTTTAGTTTATTGGGAGATAATATTTAAAACTTGAAAAGGCAAGCCATAGACTAGAAGATATTTGCAAATGTCTAGTTTCTCAGCTACCTAAGAACTTTTATGATAAATGCAGAAAAAATTACAATTCTGTAGAAAGATGGGTAAAAGACGAGAACAGGCAATTGATAGTGAAAATAACCTGTCAACAGATGCCCAACCTCACCAATAACCAGGGATATGCAAATGAAACCATAATTGGATGTGATTTCATGTAGCTCAAGTGGGTGAAATGAAAAGGTCTCACTATCCTAAATAGCAGGATCACTGTTAGTGAGGGTGGAAACTGGTTCAGCCATATTCATTGGTGTTTTATTTTTCACACTTTTTATACCATACTCATATAGTAGAGTGTCTTAAGTGTAAATTTCAGTGACTTCTTATCTACATGTACACTCAGGTATCTACCATTCACATCAAGAACTAGACTTTTTCCACCCAGCCATCACCAACCCCCTGGGGCTTTATCATGCCTCTCCTCATTACTTGAGGTAATTGTTATTGCTCTCATCACAGACTTGTTTGCCTATTATGAACTTCACTCAATATATCTGTGGGATCCATCCATGTTGCTAAGTGGTATTCTTTTGTATGGAAATTATTTCTCCATTCTCCTTAGAATTTGAATTGTTTTCAGTTTGGAGACTATTATGATTAAAACTTCAATAAACATTCTTGAAACAGTAGTCTGGTGAGCAATTTAACATTATCTAGTTAAGTTAAAAAAGTGTATTACTCTGTGACCCACCAATTCTACTTCTAGGAAAATACATGAAAGAAGCTTTCATACGTGTTTAAAGAGACATGAGTAAAAATGCTCATAGCTATTTTGTTATAGTTGCAAAAACAAAACAAATTAACAGACTTAAATATCCACCAACAGGAGAGTGGATCAATAAATGGTGGTATAATCATACAATGAAATTATACACACACATATATATAAAAGAAATAAAGCTAATCACATCAGCATGTTTTGATATTGGGTGAAAAAGGCAAAGATTCAGGAAGTACATATTTTAAGATGCTATTTATATAAAAATTTAAAACATGCAGCACACTACTATCACAAAGTATGTATGTATGTGTATATATATATATATATATATATATATATGTGAGTATATATATATATATGAACACATTCATAAATTCATGGCATTGATAACAAAAAATGCAGAATGATAATTTAGTTCAGGTGGGAAAGGAAGAGCTTATGAAATGGTGGGGGGTGGGGTGGAGAGATGGGGGTATTGACTGGATTGATAAGTGCTTCAGTCTTAAATTGGGTGATCAGTACAAAGGTGGTTATTTTATTCTTTAAACTTAAAATATAACTTTTCAAAGCTACAAGGAGTAGGAGTCATCCAGGGCAATAAAATGCTGGTAAATGATAATTGGCTGGGGGAAGGAGGACTGGTTTGTAATATTTGACTCTTTCCCTGATGTAAACACTCTCACCATGGCTGATTTCAAATTGCCAGTGTGATGTCATCCGGCTCACAAATTCTTGAAAACTGTAATAACTGTTGGCCTCATGAGCCGAGATGAACCAGCTCCAGCACACCACTCAGACACTGACAGTGGAAGTACTTGCTCTGCAGATTGCAGTCTCAAGCTCCTTCTGAGAATTTTTCCAACATCCTTGGAGGTGGGTTGAAGGCTGGATTATATTAGTTATTTATTGCTGCTCCATTACACATTATAGCCAGTTTGGAGACTAAGTAGCTTAAAACAATAAAAATTTATTATTTCACCATTTCTGAGAGTCAGGAATTTAACAATGGCTAAGCTAGGTGGTTCTGGCTCAGGATCTCTCATGTTAGCCAGAACTACAGGCATTTTCAGCTTTACCTAGGATTGGAAGATCTGCTTCCAAGCTCATTCAAGTGGGTGCTGGCAAAGGCCTCAGTTCCTTGTCTTGGACTTCTCTGTTGGGCTGCCTACGACATGGCAGTTGACTTTCTCCAGAGCAAATGATCACAGAGAAAAGAGGGTGTGAGACTAAGATGAAGGCACAATGCCTTTTATAAACTAATCTTAGAAATGATATACCATTACTTGTATTCTGTTGTGTGCACATACCAACTCTGATAAAAATGTGGGAGGGAATGACATAAGAGTGCAATACCAGGAAGCAAGAATCACTGGGGCCATCTTGGAGACTGGCTACCACAGATCACAATTGAAGGTGAGTGTACAATAAAGACCTATAAGGAATTCTCTAATGGTCCTTGTTCACATTTCTTTAAAAAAATTTCCTCTACCATCTTAGTGCCAATTCAGAGGCAAAAGTGAAAAAGTGTCCACCATTCAAATCCCATCTCAGAACCTTCAGTTACAAAAATAGTGATCCTTGGGAGACTGTGGGGCCCCAAAGCTCTCAGGAAAGCAGTAGCTCCAGCTGCTCTCTGGTGCCACTATGCCCATCAATTCCCCAGAGTCAGAGGCAGGGCTGTTCCCTGACACTGCTTTTTTCTCTCTTCTTAAGAGGAGGCTCACATCTGCTTCACCATGGCTTATCCCTGAACATACAGACTCAGGGATACTTAC